ACCCACGTTTGAACTGGTCTTTTAAAACAGTTGGATATCTTAGAGAAATACGTAAGCTACTGCCATAATTCTAAATAGAATTGTTGTTTTTCCTCCCTAGGCATAAAACATGAATGTCAAGCAAATGGGCCAGAAGACCTCAATCGGGCTTGTATTGCTGAAAAGCTAGGTGGATCCTTAATTGTAGCTTTTGAAGGATGCCCTGTGTAGACCATCACTCGGTGCCACAAACTGAAAGCTTCCGTGTTTAATGTTATCCTTTCGCTATGTAAGTAAAGCTGATGCGTTTAGGCCAGGGACTCGCTGAGGGGAGCTGTCTTGTCATTTGCTAGGGTAAACTATTCCATGCACATGTGCAAATGGCCCTAAATAAATCTAAACTCTAAAGTTGTATTGGTGTGAAATTAAATTCTTACTGGCCAAATGCCTGTTTTGATTAGTTGACTTGTAAAGATTTTTGTTAAGCTCATGATTTTTAATAGTGCAGTTCACACAACAGTCCAAGGCCACATGAAGAGAACTACTGCATCTTCATTAACCTCAGTAGTTACTTTGTTTCTTTTGCTTAGAGAATTGGTCATAATCTGGTTATAATTTTGGCCCAAATTCTTTTTTCTCTGTTGAGCTAAACTGAGTAATGGAAAATAATTCTCACAACATGTAACAGCACTAATGTACTTACTAACTACGTAAGATTCTACCAGACGTGTGGTGGAGACTGCTTAGAACCAGCACCGATCTTGCACAGCACTACTTCATGCACGTAGCTGGCACACAGGAAGCAGCTCCTGCACCTGCAGCTGCTCGCTGGTCTAGTTGGGAGGCTGTTCTGAGAATGACTTTGCATCTTGGAAATCTGGAGAATGTGCACTGTCTTGTAACAGCGAATTATAATGCAAATTTGGGCTCCAGTGTAATCCACTTTGTTGATGAAAATGGTGAGGTGGTGTATTGACAGACTGGGATACCGGGATGTCTTTAATTGTGTCTCCTTCAGAACTGTGTTGCTTCTGGTACAATAAGGTTTGGAAGAACATTATGTTTACTCTGGGGCCTGGGCAAGCTTCTTAATTTCCTAGAGTAGTTTGCCGACTGTCTGAAGCAGGGAGCGGGTGTGACGGCCGACAGCCACGGGAAGCCACGCTGAGGACACCTGGAAGTGACTGCCTTTCACATCACAGGCGTAACACTGAAAAACACAGAGATGCATAAACAGTGGAATTTAGAAGTAGCAGTACTGGCTTTATGTAATAAAGGAAGCATTTTTAATTTCTCTCTCGTGTAATTATTCATGGCTGAATTGGGGATAAAGGATTTTGCCTTCCATGTGTGGGGTTAGGTGTGGAGGTTTGGGTATTTCGGACAATTAGCGTTAAGGCCACAGCCCCCTCCTCCTCTGATTGAATGAAAAAGTTGGTATAAAAGTTGGGAGTCTTTCTCTTATTCCAAATGTTTATCCAAATGCCAGGATTTTGTCTCCTCTCTGATTCATCTGGGAGCCAAAAAAGGATACGCTTTGATCAAAGTACTTCTTTCAAAATTATCTAGAAAATAGTGCTGGCTTTACCAGCACTGGCTTTACCAGCACTATTTTCTAGATAATAGTGGTTTTCTAGATAAAAGTGGTTTACTGATAAGCTGCTTGTCGTTCTTTCATCCTGAATTTGTTTTCTCTTCTGGAAAGCAGTGCTTTTAGTGAGTGTACGTTAACAGGCCTCCGAGAAGCGCTGCAGGCCCAAGGCTGCCCTTTTCAAGAATCAGCTTTGTAGGTAGAGCCAGGAGTCTAGAAGGAGAAGGTCTTTTCTGTGGCTTCACCTTGTGACGTGTGGCCCCACCTGTATGAGTACCACCACTCCTCCGTGCAGGTATGTCGGGGTGGGGCTGCTGCCGTGGGGAGGGTTTCGAGCACAGGGATGTGATGTGATGTAAACAGCTCCCAGCGGTCCACTTGACTCCAGAAATTGGGAAATGCTAACAGTCACTTATATCTCTGCCTAGGGGAGCTTTTGGATTCCTGAGGTTGGGGCCCAAGAATCCTGCTAACCAGCACTCCGGGTAATTCTGCTGCAAAATTAGAGTTTTGAGACCTCAGCTGACATTGGTGAGGAATAAAACCACAGGTATTCTCTGCTTTCAACACATTTACACTTTTATAAGTGTTAACACATTGCAGAAGTGTGTGTGGAAAGCTGACTTAGGGTTCATTTAATCATTACTCTTTTGTCCCGAGGAAGAAGCAGATAAAGCCACTGCTAACGGAAGTTCAGAGCTTGACTGTGAAGTTTGTTACTCAGACAATATTAATCTCTAAGAAAGCAGTGAGCACAGTGACTCAATAACATTAGGCTTAGTCGAGTGGTTTCCTTTTTTTAGAACTCCTCAGAGTGCTGGCTGGTCCACACACAGAAGTGCAGCTTCTGTTTCTTCACCAGTTCGTGCCCTTTGGACTATCAGAGCCTGGATATGCCCAAGGGCAGACTCATCACTTTGTCATGACCTGGGGCACTTCTGAAACGTGCAGTCAGTCTTTAGACCAAGTTCCAGCCGGGCTGCAGCTGGAAGAAGGGTCACTGCATGGTTGGCTGGAGGGGCAGCAGGAGGGGACTTACTGAGCCTGCAGCCAGTGCCTCAGTAGCCAGTCCAGAGAGGTAAAGTAACTTGTCTAAGGTCACACAGCTCATGGGCGGCACAGCTGGACAGCTCAGGTATCGTTTTCCGGTCCTAAGCTATTCCCATCACGCATCTGGAGTTCTGAGATTTTGTTCTATTTGGGGCGGGAAGGAAAACAACACTCTTCTTTTGCGTTTTGAGTCCTGTTGGCCCCAAACCTGCAGGAAGCTCAAAGAGAAGGCGTTTGTGGAGTGTCTGGTGGCTTCTAGGATCTTGTGTCTTTGCTGCCTGCAGGTCAGGCATCCCGGTGTTTGTGCATTTTATTGACCGTCACGCGGAGGTGACTGGAGGAAGCTAGTCCAGAAAGCCGCCACCAGCGTGACGGAGCTTCCGGGTCTGGAGGGGATGTTGATGGGCCTCGTGACTCTGAGCTTCAGGTCAACCCGGGAGCCTCTGCAGGGGGACTTTGGACCAGATGCTGTCAGAGCCCCCAGCTCTCCTGAGACATGGGCTGGGTCTGTGAGGGCAGCTGCCCGCCCCCCTCCCCAGCCCGAGGGTGGGACCTGGCCCAGGGACAGCGAGGCCCGTGGGCTCCCCCTGCCGGCCAGCCGGGAGCTGCTGCTGCTGCTGGGCCTCAGGGTGGGGGGTTGGGGAGAGAGGGGCTCACCCTGCCCTGGGCCGCCTGGTCCCCACAGGTGGACGCTGGGCCCCACCAGGCGGTCTGAGGACGGAGCCCAAAGGCAGCAGCTCGGCACCCCCAGGGTCTCCTGTGCCTTCTTTCCTGGAAGTGACCCATTCCTGTGCCTTCAGGGGGCATCTGCCTAGCGTCAGGGTCCTCAGTTCTGAAGCTGGTGTGGTGAGGGAGGGGAGCTTATTGGAAACGCAGGCTCCTGGGCCCACGGTGGCCACTCGGATGCCAGAGACCTGGTTTGGGGCACGAGGCCGTCCTGTTTCCCACCAGAAAATGGCCCCAAACCCCTACCCTTGCGTGAAGGGCCCTGTGTGCCAGAGGGTGAGTCGTGAGCCGGGCGTGGGCTCCAGGCTCACAAACCTCCCCAGGTCTCCTGACCTTGGCTGGTGTTAGAGGCGGGCCTGAAGCCTGCCCAGCCTTTCACCAGGTGAGCCACTCTCACTTCTGCAGGGTTCTTTGCAGGGTGGGGGAGGTTCCTCTCCCACAGGCACTGAAAGATGTCACGTGAGAACTGAGCCTACGGGCAGGCCCGTGGCCAGCTCAGGTGTCATCAGTCACTTCTGCTCGGGCTCCTGGCCAGAACCTGTGTCCTGCGGCCCGCAGGCTCCCTCTCCACTTTAGCCCCCTGCAGAGTTCCAGGCGGGTATGACTGTCCCCCTCAGTGCCTCCCAGTGCCCTCCTGTCTAGACCACTTGACTTCATGACCTGGCTACACAGGGCCCTCCCACTGTCCCCTTGGCCTTGACCCCTCCTCCTCTGACAGTGCCTCTGTGCTGAACTCCAGCTTCTGCTCACATCTCTGGGGAACTATCCCAGAATTTCCAGCACCCTGATCCCAACAGAGTTGCAACATACAAGTGCCACACAGCAGGGCCAGGTGGCCCACGTACCAAGTGCCCCTGAAAGCCAGGCCCAGGTCTTGGCTGTGCAGACTGAAAGCACTGCCCGGCCTCTGGCAGTGGCTCGCATGGGGCCTTGGGCAGCACCCTGATCTTTCCCTCCCCAAGGTCCCGAGGCTGCTGTGACAACCACCCCAGAGAGGAGTCAACCCCCCCCCCCCCCACTGCGATGAATGGGATGCGGAGCGTCTCAAGCAGGTGGTGAGACCCCAGTACGCAGCTGCTTTCCCTGGGAGCACCACCCTCCCTTCCATCTGGCTGTACCTGTAGTCTAAGTTCAGCCTATCAGACCCCTCTCCCAGGATTATGGGTCCTGGAATTGAGCTGAAAGTACCAGCGAGACCCCCGCCCCCGCCCCGCCAGGGTTGCTCTGATTCACCTTCTGTTCCTAGGTTGGTGCAACTGCTCCTGTCACCCTGCCTCTAAATCCTTTTTTTTTTGCTTGAGCTCCAGGTTCCTTACAAAGCCCCTGACACACCTCCTGACCACAGATTCTGTGGGCCCCTCAGAACACAGTGGGTCCAAAGATCACCCCAAGTTCAGCTGCCTGCCCCCCCGCCTTGGGCCAGCCCTCCTGCGGCGTGGATGTTTGCCCAGGTCCGTGTTCATTCCTGGAACTCACTTCACATGACAGCCTAGGCTGCCCACAGCCCTGCTAGGGAACCGCCTCAGTTCCTCAGGGTGGAGCCCACAGGGCATCTGGCCACCAGGTGTCACGGGCCCTGCTCCCTCATCCTGCCCGGTGGGTGCTAGGGCCCGGGTGGGGAAAGCGCGGGGGGGACCAGAAACCACACTCATTCTCTCCCAAAGTGCCGGGCGACACGCGGGTTTTAATGGCATCAACACCCAGGAGGTCACACGTCAGTTGTGGTGGCAACTTCTTCCAGGGGTGAGAACTGCTGCCTCGCTGGCTGTGACCCTACAGTCTGCGCTGCAGCCTTCAGGACTCACCACCTGGACCGCCCATCGCCCGACCGCCAACCCCACAAAAGACACAACAATTGCACTGACTGATTGACATACACACCCCAAGGTCCCGGCCCCCTAGCACACACCCAGGTCTGTCACACAGCTGCTGAGGGCTTTGGCGTCTGCTGGCCGGTGGTCCAGGGCCGGTCCTAGGGAATAGTGTTTATCGAATGTGACAAAGATTCTTTTACAAACTGGGGTCTGGAAGAGCTACTTCTGGTGCTAAGAGACTCTCGTCTCTATGGCTTCTCAGAGCTACCCAAGTTGGGCCCAGATAACGCTGTGTTGGTTTGTTTATTGGTCAGGAATGTGTAAGGCATTTTGGTAAGTTGAACAGTGACTTCTTTTTCCGCAGGAAGCTCAGACAGATGTTCCCTCCTTCGAGCTGCTGCTGCCGGCCTCCTGTGAACAGAGGGCGGGGGAGGGGCAGGCTGGGCCTAGGGGCCTCGTCCCTACACCACCCTACCTACCACCTTCCACCTTGAGAGGCCCCTGGGGCTGGAGGAGGCACCCGAGGGCTTGGCGGGGCAGAGGACAGCTTTCAGGCATCCCGGGGCGCCCAGCCCTGCCCAACCCCCGAGGGGATGGCCGGCAGCACTCACTGGTCTGTCCAGCTGCTCCTGCAGCTTCTTCACCGTGTCTTTCTCCTTTGCCAGCTGCTCCTGGGTCGTCTTCAAAAGCTCCTGTAGTTTGGTGGCAGCGCGTCCCAGGTCACTGGTTAATTTCTTCTCCTTTTCTAGTCTCTCCTGTGGGTCAGAGGGTTGAAGGGGATCAGCCTTCACGTGACGCACAGCAGGAAGGCCACCTGGCTGCGCACGTGGGGCCGAGGGTGTGAGGACGCGGCCTGCGGGTCACAGGGCTGTGCTTCAGGGTCGGGCACTGGTTGCTGAGCACCTGCCCTGTGGCCAGGGTGACGGAGGAGCTCAGCTTCAGTTCTACTCGATTTAAATCGTCACACTGGTGACGTCCAGCTGTGACACTGGACACTTAGGGATCCCCCCCGACCTCGCCAACCTCCAAATTAGGCTGGACGCTGCCCGAGGGGCCTCCGGGGGTGACAACGGGGAACCTTGTACCTTGAGCCGCGTGGCCTCCTCCGCCTCTGAGGACCCGAGGGCGCTGCTGCAGCGGAGCTTCTCCAACTCCCCCTGCAGACGACTCGACACGAGCTGAGCCTGGACAGAGCGGGGCAGCGGGTCAGGCCCCATGTGGACAGGAGGCGGGTGACAATGGCGCAGCGACACCCCCTGGGGTGGGACGCAGCTCAACCCCCTAGACCCGCTGCCCTGACCCAGAGAAGCCCCGACGGCACGGGGCAGCCTGACCTCCTCGAACTCAGCTGTGAGCTTCTGCCGCTGCGTCTGCTCGTCCTCCAGGATGGCTTCCGTCCGCTCCAGCTGCATCTTCAGCTGCATGCAAACACCGCAAACATGCTCGGAACCTGGGGCAGACCCTCCTGGGTACCCAGGGCTCTGGGCAGCCTGACACCTGCGGCCACATCTTCTGGCTGTGCCCAGGGCCCCCTCGACCCTGCCCTGCCTGGGACAAGCAAGCGGGGAGGCCTGTGTGCCTGAAGCCCTCCTGGGGGAGGCAGGGCCCCGACCCCTGGGAACGGAAGCTGGTATGGCTGAGAAGAGACGCAGACGCAGCCCCTCTGCTGAGACCCCAGGACAGAGGAGCCTAGGCACCGCATGAGCCCTGGCGGCCTTCCCACCCTGGCGAGGCTCTGGGCGGCTGCCGCCCAGATCAGGGGTCTGGATGGCAAGGGCCCCACCAGTGATGCCCCAGCCCCCCGCCCCCCTCCCACTCTGGCGTCCTGAGGAGTCGGGCATCTGGGCAGTGGGGCCGGGAGCTGCGAGTGGCCGGAGTTTAGCCAGAGCAGAGGCTGCCGTCCCTGCCCTCCAGCTGGGTGGAAGGGCCCACACGGCGGTCAGTGATGGACACCTGGGGACGGGCTCACCACCCTAACCTCGATGGGGTCCTGCTCTGCTGAGGGGGCCTCTGGGGGGGCAGCCGGGGACCCGGCTACGTCACCATCCTCTACGTGGCTCTTCATCTCACTCAACTGCTGCCTGACCTGGAACAGGGAGGGTGGGTTTGTGCCTGACATAGCTGGATGCACCCCGCAGGAGGACGGCAGATGCTCTCAGCAGCCAAAGCCCACGGGGGACCTGCTCTGACAACTGTGGCCTGTGTTGGCTCCCGTGCAGGTTCCCTGGGGCAGGAGAGCCAGCGCCACGAGCCCTCACCCGAGCCAAACTGTGGCTGAGGGGCCCGCAAGGGGCCCGGGCTGACCCCACATGCACTCTGTGGCAAGGCCAGCGGCGCAGAGACCCCCACGCCGGGAGCCAGGTGACCCCCGAAGGATGTGGTATGCGCGGGGCTATGGAATCTGAAGAACGGCAGGCGGCCGGTGGGCTCGGCGCAGACACTGCCGCCTGCCTCCCGCTACCCTCCTGGGTGCGGTCCCCCGTCAGGGCCTTTTGTGGGGTCCCCGACAAGCTGACACTCTTACCTCATAAGGTCCCCTCACCCCTGAGCTCCACTGCTGGGGGGCCTAAGCCCCAGACCTCTGAACCTCAAGTCTGAAGGGGCAGCAGTGTCACCCACAAAGCTTGGGTGAAGGTTCCCAGCGGGGATCTGGGGGGGGCCCTGACAGAGCTGCCCCATGAGGGGCGCCCCAAGTGTGTGGGGCTTCACCCTCCAGGTCCTTTCCTCCTGCCAACAGCCCCAAAAGTCAACACCAGACCGCAGAGGCCAGTGACGAGGAGAAACTCGGGGCGTGTCCTCTGCATGTGGCCCAGGCCTGGCTTGGACGTGGCTTTGGAGAATGGCCCTCAGACTCGGCACCTGCCCTCGGGGGCGATGGTCCCCGGTCAGGCCCGAACGACCAGAGGGGGCACCCGGGGAGCCAGAGCGTGCACCCAGCGACGGAGCTGCTCAGTGGGTGCTGCTTTGGGAACGCCAGCCCCCCGGACCAGACCTGGGGTCTCCTTGCAGAAAGCCAGACACGTACGTTTTTCACACACACACACAGCGCCCCGTGCCCGCTCCCCCCACCCCCCCCCCCCGCCGGTGGCTCAGTGTTAACAGCCAACTCATGATTTAATGAAAGACCGTGCAGATCACACGGACTGTGTCTGGCCTCACGGGCTGGTACTGGAACCAGTGGGCCGCCCCCCCGCCGCTACAAGGCCAGGCTGACCTGGCCAAGGAGCGCGGACCAGAGTCACACATCAAGGCTGAAAACCGGAAGAACCAGAGGCCCCCGCGTGGCCGGGAGCCCTGCGCAGCTGCAGACAGGTCACCTGGTACCGCCCAGCGTGGAGCAGGCTGCCCTGCACACTGCAGATCTGACTGACCTGACCTGAGCCACTGCTGGGTGAGGAAGGACCCTAGTCCCACAAGAAGGACCCTAGTCCCACAGAAGGCCACGGGGCAGAAGGACCCCCCCAGAGCTCCCAGCGCAGACCTGGAGCCCCGTGGTCCCGGCAGCCACAGGCCCAGTGTGCAGCGTGGAGCAAACGTGTGAGGGGCCGTCCACACTGGGCCCAGCACAGACCGGCGCACGTCCCCTTTGACGGGACGCAGAAACACACACACCCAACCCCAGGGCACATGCCGGCCACACCAGTTCACTCACCAGGGCAAGCTCGTCGCTTTGTTTCTGGGCTTCACTCTTGGCTGCATCCAGCTGAGACTGAGATTCTAATAAAAGCTGCCTCAACTTGGACAGAAAACAGACCCGGGTGGTGGGAGAAAAGGAGAGAGAGCCAGTTCCAGTGAGTCAGCACCTCACACCCAACCAAGCACATCCACATACGCCACCCGGAGAGCCTGTGGGGCGTGGGGGAGGGGTGGGCGCAGGCCCCCAGGAGCTTCTGCTCTTTTTTGAAGACGAAGGAAGGATCGCCTTCAGTACACGCTAGTCTCAGGCCTGCACAAATGTTTGTGGATTGTCTTTTGCAAAGCGAGGCCAGAAGTCGGAGATCGAACCAGGATTGGGGGTGCCAGGCTTGTGTTCTCTGCTCCCCGAATCAGAAAACACTCAGATTTAAATGCCTTCCCCGCAGAGATGGTGTCTCCACACCGGGTAGAGAGATCCTCTCGCTGCCAGGCTGACCTGGCTGCCCCCTGCCCTGGCCGCAGGGCCCCCACCAGGCCCACCTGCGCCGGGACACTCACCCCTGCCACCTCCGTGGCGTAGTTCTGGCACTCGGCGCTCGCGGCCGCCATGTGCTTCTCCAGCTCGGCCTCCAGATGTGACGTGTGCTCCCTCACCTGGACACAACACACATCAGGAGCCTCGAGCCAGCCAGTGGGAGGGCACGGGCCACGGGGACAGGGCGCTGGGGCCACCAGGCTCTGGGACAAGGGCTGAGAGGGGCCCCCGTGGCCTGATGGCTACGAGCCAACTGAGGCCATGCAGGGGGGTGCCCCCCAGGCCCAACACCTCCTGAAGACGCACCCTGGGGCCGCACGTGTTCTCAGACCTCAGCAGCTTTTAGGTTTACTTGCAAGGAGGGTGCGGAGTGCAGCAGGGCCACCTGGCAACCCTCCCACGGTTCATGAGGCCACGGCAGAAGCCATGGTGCACCGGGGCCCAGCCACCCCGAGGTCGTAACGGCTCATTAAGGACAAGCAGGGACGTGCGGTCGGGGAAGGAAAGCCGCTAGAGGAGCCTCTGTAGCAGGATGGCAGCCCTCCGGATGGTGCACGCACGCACCTGATCGGCACTTTCAAGTTCCCCTTTCAGCTTCCCGACAGTCTCTTCGAGATGCTTCACTGTGACCCGCGACTACAAAGCAAGAAGGGGGAGCGCCGTCAAGCACGAGCCCCGGGGGTCCATCCTGGGATGCACCCCACCTCCCGGGAAGCCCTGTGGTGCCCCCGCCCCCCCCCACCCCCAGGTATGACCAGCACTCTCTTCCTTGGGGGTGGGGCTGGGGGGGGGTCTCCTTGAGACCGGGACTCAGCTGTCGGTCATTCCACAATGACACTGTTTGTGGCATCACCAAAACCCAGCAAACGTGACTCCCAAGTGACCCAGATAACCCCGTGGGCGTTCCCCCTGAATTGTATGGCATTCTGAGGGAGTGGAGTTTGGGTTCCGAGGGAAGGTGGGCCCTGGGGAGACTGGGGGCCGTGCGGTACCTTCTGGAGCTCCTCCTCCGTGGCGCTCACCCGGGCCTTCCACACCTGTTCCTCCTCCTCCACGCTCTTCTGCAGGGCTTTGAGCATGGCCTCCTGCGGGGACGGCACTGAGCAGGGCCTGGAGAGGCCCCCCCACACCCCCGTGGCTCCCCGCAACCCCCCGGCTCAAAGCCCAGAGCGGCGGCGTGCGGGAGGAGGGGGTACAGTTCCAGAGGGGGGCCCCCGGCCGGTGTGCGAACAAGGTTGTCAGGTCTCTCGTCTCCGGTGGGTTTGCACCAGGTGGGCCTCAGCGGCCCAGTACGGGGAACCCAGGACTGGCCATCGCAGAGGGAGGCTGAGTGAGCATGGCCCCTGGAGTCGCAGGAAAGCGGATTCAAGCCGAACGCTGTCCTATCCCTTCCCATACTGTGCCCCAGACCTTCAACCTGAGCTCACCCCCTTCACCATTCAGCCAAAGAAACTGGGCCCAGAGAGGGGCAGTGACTCGCCCAAGGTCACAGAGGCCTCACCGTCTCGGCCAGGATGCTGCGGTACTGGTCACACTCGGCCTGAAGGCTGTTCTGCGTCTCCTCCGCCTCCCTCAGCTTGGCAGCCAGGTCCTGAGGGTGGAGGGCAGGACAGGGGCCTGCTGAGCCAAAATCCGATGGCCAGCTCCAGGCACCCTCCATCCCGCAGACAGGGCAGGGCGCGAGTGACAGTGGCCGTGCTCACCGAGGGCTCCGTGTGTGCTGGTGGCTGCTTCAGCAGCTCTGGGCCTTTCTCTTTGAGCTCCTGCAGCCAGTCGGCGTAATTCTGCGACAAAAATGTTCAAGGTCGGGCGGGATGTGCCCCCACCCGCACAGGGGTCCCCCGAGAGCTGCCTCCCCTCCTACCTGGTGGGTGGGGGCAGAGAGGCCCGGGAGCAGGGCCAGCAGGGCCTCCCTGGTCTGGGCCTCCGTCAGGCTGAGCTGCTTCTCCGACTCCTCCTGGGGGCGGGGCGGGAGGGCGGGAGGGTGGTCAGCCACGGAGCTTACGGCAGCCCCGGGGGTTCACCCCAGGAACATGTCCCCAGCCCTTCAGGGTAGGGACAAGGATCGGAGGAGACCAATGGTGGCTCCGTGGGGCCGGCTGGGCGGGGGTGTGTCTAACCTTAGCAGTCAAGTTCCGGCCACCCCACCCCAGGCCTGGCCAACTTTAAACAAACTCAGCTCTAAAGAAGGGGGATGGCAGCACCCCCTACGGGACATGCAGGTTCGCGGACACCTCCCAGCAGACACTCAGGCTCAGGTCTTCTTTCTGAGCGTGTGCATATGGGGGGCAGGGAGCGCAGAGAAGAGGGGTGGCCACCAGGGTCAGGAGCTCCTGCAACCCTGTGGGCGGGAGGATCAGGGCTGCCACGTGCTGAGGGGATAAGGCAGGTCGGGGTCTCGGCTCTCCAACAGCTCCTGGGCCCCCTGCTGCAGCTGCGCTGGCCAGAGCCCCCTCCATCCTCCCTGATGCTCCCACTCAACGCAAGAAAAAGGAGCCCAAGAAAGCGGGAAGGAGCCATAAGTAAAGCCGAGAAGGACTGCACTGTCCCTGGGGACAGATAGCCTGTCCCCACACCCTGGGGGCAGGGGGGCGGTGCAGATTTCTGGCTGAAAGTCCCATCTGGTCACCCGTCCCCAGCAGGCTGAGCCTGCCGCCTGCCCCTAAGGGCCCGAGGCCTGGAACGGCACTAGGAGCTCCCAGACTAGAGCCGGGAGTGAGGCTGTGTGTGTGACTTGGGGCCGGTGGCGGGGGGATGGATGGCCGGCAGATGGACGCCCAGCCTGACCACAGCACCACGTGCCTAGACTTGAGTCTCAGAAGCCGACCCTTCTCGCTCACCTGCTGATCTGTGGCCTGCTATGGGCCCCCGACCTCGTGACCACCATTCAGGTGCCCGGGTCATGGGATGCCAAGCAAGGGCTGAGGACCCAGAGGCCAGCTCCCTGTCTTCATCTGGCTGTGTGACCACAAACAAGTCAGGTGACACCTCTGGTCACAGCTTCTGCATTTGCCACAGAAAGGCCAGACAGGCGCCCAGGTCACTCCTGGGGAGTGTAAGTGTAAGCTCCCCAGCTCCGCCTCTCGGAGGCCTCATCTGACACAGCCTCAGGCTTCCTGGGAGGCTTGTGAAAGTTGCTGCAAAGCTCATGATAACAGGACAGTAATTCTGCGTTGCAGGGGGAGCAAAAGGGAGAGGGAGGGCAGGCCTGGCCAAAGCCAGTGGTGAGGCCCCGCCTGCTCATGCTGCAGCTGCAGACCATGTCCCGGCCAGGGCCCTGGACACTGACCCACCCGTGCTCCCCCGACCTGGGCCTGAGTGCTTGCTACTAAAGACTGTCCTTCCCCCAAAGCTCAATCACGGAGCCCCTGGGCCAGGACCGCAGGGGGCCTGAGAAAGCAAACAAACGTCAGGCGAGAAGAATTAACACGAGCGAAGTCCATGAACAGACCCAGCTCGGGGCCCCCATGGCCTCCGAGGGCAAAAGGCCCAGCTGAGAAGCAGGAGACAAGGGCTTGCTGCTCCCCGCATGTCGGGGAGAAATGCGCGGCGGGAGGGCAGGAGGGCGGGCAGGAATATGCAGCAGCCAGGCCCTGGGTGGACTTCTGAGATGCCCTGAGGCTGAGGCTGCCCTGCACGCAGTCTGTGTGGTCTGCTGAGCTGCTAGACGGAGGCGATCCCGAGGCCGATGCTGACCTTGGCCTGGGTCAGGGACCGCAGCTTCTCCTCGCAGCCCCTCTCAGCCGAGGCCAGAGCCTCCATCGCCTTCCAGTTCTTCTCTCGGAGGTCCTGGGAGGAGAGGGGGGACGGTCAACAGCCAGGCTGGTGTCCGCCGGGCGGGCAAGCCCTCTCCGACCCGTCTCTGGACCTCACAGGCCACCCCGGGCAGCACTGGCGCCAGGCTGCTCTCGGGTGGCCGGGGCCTGCGGGCGCCTTTCAGGGAGACGCGTCTGCGGGCGGCGGGGATCTGCCAGCTCTTCAGTGGGAAGAGGGTCTGCCACCAAATGGGGCCGTGTGTGTGTGTGTGTGTGTGTGTGTGTGTGTGTGTGTGTCTTGGGTGTGTGTGTGTGTGTGTGTGTGTGTCTTGGGGGTGTGTGTGTGTGTGTGTGTCTGGGGGGGGGGGTCCGGGGGGACGGCCCGGGTCGGAGGGACGCAGCCGAGGCTCCCATGCGCCCACCGCAGAGGAGGCGCCCTACAGCCCCCTCCTCACGCCAGGTGACCACATGACCAAGCCGACCCAGTGGGAGTCAGGACCCCCGAGCCCCACCACAGGGAGCAGCCGGACGGGACAAGGAGAGGCCCCGAGCCCCCTCCGCATCCACACGGCAGGTGGCCCCTTGACACTCACGTTGTTCTTCACTTTTTGCTGCTCAACTGCCTCCTTGAGCTCCGTGGCCTCCTTCTCCAGACACCACACCTGCGACTCCAACTCCATGAGGCTGAGGGGGGATGGCGGCGTCACTGCCGGGCTCCGAGGGCCCGCGGCCGCCATAGGCCCTGTCTCGGGGCCCCTTCCTCTGCCCCAGAACACCCGTGGGGCCTGGGGCTGCGGTCAGTCCCCTCCCCAAGCCGGCACAGGCTTCAGGGGAGCCCCAGCAGCCACCGTGGCCCCTCCCCTGAGGGCTGGGGGCCCAGAGGCCAGCGCTGTCCCACTTGGTGGCACTGGCTGCGGGGACGGCAGCGGTCAGAGCTGCCACAACGGCCAGTGCGCGGACGCGCCGCGGACAGTCAGGTTTCCAGATGCTCTTTCTTCTGGTAAACTGAGCCTGGTCCCACTCTGTCCCGCAGCACGCGTCGGCTGGCCCTTCCCTGCGGCCACAGCTGCCCTCGAGACTGGGCTGGGGCTCCTCGGAGGACGCCGGGGCCGGAGGCTCGGGTGGCACCGTGGCCGGCACACCCATCAACTGCATCCCTGCTCTCGGCGCTGGGACCATCCTGTGTCCAAAACCTAACTCTGCTGAGACCCGAAGGCTCCCCCTCAGTCCTGCGCCGGGGCTCCAGGGAATCAGCCCGAGACGACCCCAGATGCATGCGGCTGGCAGGCCGGGGGGGCCATCTTTTCGCACTTCTCTCTGGACTCGAGGCCCTGCGGCTCCGTCCACCCCATCGCCCGGAAAGCAAGGGGTGGACGCTCTAGAACTGCTCTGGCTGCTCGGAGGAAGACGCTTCAAATGGACACTTAATACGTCACCTTCTGCGTTAAGATTTAGGACAGGGAAGCCCCGGGGTCGCACAAAAGCTGACATCCAAAAGCCACCAACGCCGACTTGAAGCAACACAACAGGGCCCCTCTGGGAGCAGGAGGAAGCCCGTCTGAAGATGCCCCCGGGGGGGACACGTTCGTATTTCTCACCAGGGGCCGGCAGTACACCACGCTAAGGAGGTGCATGAGGACCAAATAACCTCAGCGAGGCTGTGTGCGCTGCCCGCTCTGACGCCCCCGAGCACCGTCTCATTTTCATTCTAAGTACCGTTTGCATGTGGCCTTGAAGACGGCTGTCGACTTCTTGGATGTTGGTTTCAGGCCACAGGACCTGACCCCACCCTCAAAGCTCCAGTGGGACCCCTCGCAGTTTCTCCTTAAGCCGCTGGCATTCTGCACCAGCGCTGGCCCCGCACACACCCCTGCAAGAGCACCCCCAAAGGCACGAGGCCCCGAGGAAGAAGGCACAGCAGGCCGGTGGCAAGGACACGCTGACAGTCACCCCCCTTGGTAGCTACGGCCCGAGTTCCAGAACATCTGGGGCCGGATCACTCATCCCCACCCCAGAACACGATGGCCTGGCCTAGACGCAACTTCCAGATAAACAGTCTGAGAAGGAAATTTTAAAAAACCCTAATTCTGCCAAACATCTACATGATGCAAAAAGCTAGAATCAACCCTGCTTGCAGCATGACTTAGGTAACTAGCAATTAGCTGTGCAGTCCAAGAAGCTGACCGTAAAATACAAGAAGCAAAACGCTTAACAAACACCTCTCTACCCTGGCAAGTGCCGTGAGAAACAGAGTTTGCGCAAAGCTTTCTGGGAAGGTGCACGGAGAGGGTTTCCTTCTGAGTCTCCAGCAAGATGCTTTGGGGCCGCCGTGAGGCCGGCTTCCTTCCCCAGCCCCCAAACCCGAGCCCAAGGCCACGGAACATGGGCCGTGGCCTGGGGAGGCGCTGGGGAGGGGACTCACTGGCAGCAGCAGCCAGAACAAGGGAGGTTGGTCAGTGGACGACCCAGGACATGACCGACCACCTGCATGCTTAACCCCACGTGGCTGCCCTGGGGACCCCCAGCCACGGCAGCCAGGGCCACCCCCCAAGCTCATGGACATCTGCTGAGGGACACATACCCAGCCCCCTGGCCTGAGAAGCCCACCAGATCTTAGCAACAGCAAACACACAGTCCAAGCAGGCCTGGGGCTGGGCCACTGAAGTCACCCGGCATCAACCCTGCGACCTGGTCAGCTGTGAACCGCACCGCATCCCAGATCTGTGCAAAAGCCCGGGCATCCTCCCGGGTTCTCCACTCTGGGCACGTAACCACTTTCCCGTTTGGGTTACAACTTCAGCTCCTAAATTCCCTCGCCCTGTGACGTGGAGAGAACACCCTGACCAGCCGGTCCTTCCCGGGGAGAGAAGGATGGATGGATGCATGGATGGACGGATGGACAGCGAGGCCCATCCCCCTGCCGAGGCACAGCCACTCTCCCCACAGCCTCGCTCCTCGAAGCAGGAGCTCCCTGCAAGGTGCCCTCTTCCCTGCCCAGCCTGTCCTCGTCCTCGAGGTCACTGGAGGGATGGGGAAAGGCAGGGCGTCTCAGAGGGCTCCTCCCTGGGACCCCCACACCCAGGCCACGGCCCCTGCCTCCTCTTACCGGGCCTGCTGCTGGTTGGCCTCCTCTCGGCTGGCCTGGAACGAGAGACAGAGCCCTGAGGTCACCACGAGACCACCTCGCATGACAGGTCATCAGGGCAGGGCCCCTGTGGGGTGGGTGGGGGCGCTCCCAGGAGGAGGTGCAGCTGACCTGGGCGTCCCGGGCCTGGCTCGCCTCCAGCAGGGCCTCGATGGAGCGGATCCTCTCCGTGAGCTGCGAGTTTTGCGCCTTGGCCTCGTCCAGCTGCCCGTGGACACTGCTCAGCTCCTCGCACCTGCTCCTCACCTCAGCCTCGGAGGACTGCAGCTTGCCGTGCAGCTCTGCGGGGAGGGAGGCCAGCGGGTTGCAGGGTGCGGGGAAGGCCGGCACAGGTGCCCCATGCTGCCCAGTGCACGCCTGCGGGCTTCCAGGCACTCCCCTGACCCCTGGGTGTCCTGTTAGCTGGTGGAGAAAGTCACAGCCTGGCTTCCTTCTCAAGGACTCACTAGGGTAGAACAGCACGCCCCCGGATCACTCAGGAAAAGATGGAAAACTGAATGGGCTCCTGTTGCAGTTTCTAAAACCTTACTCTCTGGGAGATGGGCTCACGTCGCTGAGACCAGAGGCAGGGGGGCACCTCAACGTGCCCTCCCTCGGTGACCTCCGCTAAGCCCCACCACGGCTCTGAAAGTCCTCCACGTGTGCCTGACTCCAAACGGCGGCCCGGCCCTGGTCTCCTCCCTGAGCCCTGGCTCAGACGCCGGCCACGTCCACACGCAGCTCTGCTCAGACCTCCTGGTCCCCTCGCTGTGGCTGTTCTGCTTTCCTGTGCCCCCGCCTCTCACTCACCTACCAGGCTTGTGGATCCAACATCCACTGCCTGCCGAATCCACCAGCGCCTCCGTGGCTGCCTGGGCCCAGCCCAGGTGCCTTTGGTCCGACGACTGCAAGGCCCCATCCCTGGTCCCCACCGGGAGCCGGAGCATCCAGAAGTGCAGATGGGATCCCGCCAGCCCTGCCCGTGCTCCCCGCCCCCTCAGCACTCCACACGGCCCCTGAACTCTTCAAAGGAGGGTGGCCCGGCCCTGCCCATCTACCCCACACTAGCCACTGCCTTCTTCTCCAGTCTCGCTTGCTGACCTGCATCTGTTTCTTGTACAGGCCAAGTTCAAGTTCACTCCCATTCTCAGGGGCCCCTTCGCGGTTTCTGTGAGGCTGGCCTCTCCCCATCATCCAGACCTTGGGCTTAAACATCCCCTTCTCCCCAGAGAGGCCTCCCCTGACCACTCAAAGCCACACCCGGCCCATCACAGCAGGGGTCAGCAAACTAGGCCCTTGGGCCAACCCAGCCCACAACGTGTTCCTGAAAATAAAGCTTTATTGGCACGCAGCCAGGTCTGTCTGTCTAGGGTGGCTTTTGCACTGTGGCAGCAGAGCTGAGCAGTTGTGACAAATAGCATTTGGCCTACAAAGCCAGAAGTATTTACTGCCTAGCCCTTCACAGACACAGCCTGCCGTTTCTAGGGCCTGCTCTCGGTCACGCTGCCTACCTCAAGTCTGTCGACATGGGTCCATCTACTGTGCCCGTCTCTCCTGCCGGAACGCGGCCCCAAGCCCGCTGCTTCACTCCCGGCCAAGCCCCAGGCACCCACAGGAGTGCTCGGCCCCCAGCAGCGGCTCCAGAAGTACTGGTGAGCCCTCACGGGCACGGTCTGCCCTGCTTCTCTAGGGGCCCTTGGTGCCCTGGGTTTCGTCACCACCTCCCGTTTGAGAAGGTGACTTGTGAACACAGGGGGACCATAAACCCACCTTCCAAATCTGGCCTCCAGGCCTGACTGGGCTGGAAGAGAAGGCCAGCAGCAGCCCCAGGAGCATCACGGCTCCAGGTGGGCCCCACAGCAAGTGACGCCGAAGGGGCAGCATCTTCCACCTTGAGCCCGCCCCCGTATCCCACCCCACAGGCCACACCCCCACAGGCTCCATCCCACCCCCATATCCAGCCCCACAGGCCCCGCCCCCACATTCAGTCCTCCGCAGCCCAGGCCTGACCCCGAGCACCCCCGGCACGTCCCCTGACGGGTGGGGAGTCAGGGGTCCCAGCTGCCCTCGCCACCCCCACCACGGAGCCGGCCCCCACACCGCCCTCACCGGCCATCTGCTGCTGCTGCTCCCGGGCCTTCTCGGCGTCCGCCCGGAGGCTGGCATGGCTGGTCTGCGAGCGGCACAGCTCCCGGCTGACCTCATCCAGGCGCTTCTGCAGGGCCTCCTCGCTCTCCTTGTGAGACGCCTGGGGGCCAGCAGAGGGAGGAGGGCTAGGAGGATGCGGCAGGAGGTGGGCCCTCAGCCGGCTCTGCCGTCTAGAGCTCCTCACACCCTGCCATCCTGTGCCGATGACTTATATAAGCCTCCTGGATTTCCAGGTCAGTTCACCTGCTAGAAAAGGCCAAGAGGCCACCCTGGACCCTGAAGAGCGGGCTCCTGGGGAAGAGGCCTCAGGTGAAGGCAGGACAGCCCCAGAAAGGCAAAGGCCCATTTTCACCTGAATGTGGCACAGGGAGAGGCTTCCTACAAGCTAAACGTCCGGCCTGAGCTGGAGATTTCCCGAGGGGGCCTGGGAAAGGGCATATGGTTGTTAGGCAGTTCTGGACAAGGCATCCGTGTGTGTCAGCCACCCCAAGACACAGGTACCACCACCACACCCACATTACAGGTGGGGAAACTGCACCTCTGAAATCCGGGCCTCACTATCAATACCACGGGGACTCTGTGACCTCAGAGAGAGGAGATGCTCGCGGCCTGGGAATTCCTGGCTACAGTGATGGTGACAACCCGGGCGCCAGAAGGCTCCAGCCCCGGAAGCCCCAGGGCCACCCGACAGCCTTCAGAACATAACCACCAGGCCCTCCCCAGGGGCTCTGATCTCACTGCTCAGGGTGGACCTACTTTACACCAAGTTATCCATCTCAATTCCACCCAAACAATCCAAACTTTGTTTATCTGTGCCTGTTCTTAGGCACACACACAGCAGTCTTACAATTTCGTGTCTGTCGTTCTAGTCCCTTCCATAAAACAGCCCCACTGCCCCACACGCTACAGCCGAGAGCTTCAGTGACTGAGCAGAAACAAGTGCAAAGCTGTGTGGGTCTCCAGGGTTTCCTTGTCCTCCAGAGAAGTTACACGCACAGAGGTATGACAATTGCCCCACGCCCGGTCACCCTGCCCCGAAACAGGCCAGCTGGGGGACGCAGCACTCGTCGGGCCAATGAGCAGGGAGGCCCCAAGACTGAGGGGCCCACTGGTTGCTGCCCAGCACCTATGGGGCAGGGAGGGGACAGTCTTCCTCCCTCTGGACAACAGGCGTCCCCCTGGGAAAATACGAGCTTCCGGGCCACATCCAGAGGCTGAGAAGAAAGAACACCCACCGGGCCTTGAAGCCAGAGGCCGCGCCCGCCGGCCTGGCTGCGGCCGGAGCTGTGACACCACACGTGTGGCAAGTGTGGGACGCTGACTGCTCTGGGGCTGCCCTGGGGCTCAAACCCTGGCTGTGGGTGAACTGGCAGAGTTGCTGAACTTTGTGCATCCAATTTCCTTCTGGGTAAATTACAGATAATAACAGTATCTACCCCATAAGGTTGCAATGAGAATTACCTGAGTTAAGCTTGTAAACGTTCAGAACAACGCTTAGCACACAGAAAGCACCCACTCTATGCTGACCAGGTATCACTACTAACGAGGCCAAGGTCAAGGGTTCCAGCCCCAGCCCTGCCTGGGTCCACTGCAGTCACAGTCACAGCTGAGAAGGGAGGACCCAGGGAGGCCACGCGTAGAGCCTGGCGGGCAGGATTCACGGGCACCGAGGTGGCTGCCCCCGAACTCACCTGCAGCTGCAGGACCTGCTTCTCAAAGGCAGCCGCCTTGGCCTCCAGCGTCTTCCGCTGCTGCTCCTCCTGCCGTGCGGCCTCCGACTTCTCCACCAGCTCCTTGCTGACCTTGCCCAGCTCCTGCCGGAGCTTGGCCAGCTCTGCATTCTGCCTGCAAGACAGTCAGGAGGCCCCGCATGACGGACAGAAGAGGGCTCAAGTCAGCTCTCGCCAGCCCCGAGAGCCGCCCCGGGAGATGGGACCGGAGGTCTGAGCCCTTCCTCCGGGGCACCTGCTCTTTCTGAAGTAGCTGCCCATCTTGGAGCCCCTCTGAGGCCCTCTATATAATCAGCCACGTGGGTGTGACGTGTTTTGTTGAAGATGCTGTTTTACAAACACGGTGGAGGGACCAGCGAAAGCCAAGGGCAAAATGTGCACTAAAGCAGCCCATGGAGCCCCTGACAGAAGTGGCTGATTCCTCACGGCTGGTCTGGGCCCAAATGAGCCCTGGGATGCTGCCCTGCAGGACCGGGGCCGGCGGCCCGCTCGAGTCCACACGCTGGATTCACTGGCCGACTGGACCACAGCCAGGCAGGGAAAGAGGCTGCAGCATCTTACACGAGACCCCTCAACGCTGCACAAGAGCTGGGTCTCAGGACCAGCGAGGAGGTTCAGGAGTGACGGAAGGAGATGTGACTGACAGCGAAAGGGGCAACTCCGGACCCGCCTTTCCCAGCATGAGGAGGTCGTCAGCGTGCAGCCTCCTTCACAGCACAAAAGACACCTCTTCACGGCAGGACTGACCGTCCAGCCAAGGGACAGTACCAGACCAGGTGAAGGCGACAGAAGAGACGGTCCACAGCCCTGAGAGGCAGGAAACCTGGCCAACACCAGCTCTGCCCTGCTGCCTGGGGAGGGGAGATGTGGGCCCCCCGTCTGCACGGGGGAGGCCGCCCCAAAGCCCTCTGCGGGGCCCTCAGTGCACGCTTTCCAGGGCCAAGATTCGAGACCGGGAGCCCACGCGAGGCTGGACTCCGGTACCAGGGATGGGGATGAGGGTGGGAGGCCAGCTGGGTGGCCCCTTGGGACCGACATGAAGCTCTGGGAGGGACGTGGGGACACCCGTCCCACACGGCAGAGTGTCCGCAAGCTGATGGAGTCAGCAGCCGCAACTCAGGGCCAGGCTTTAGAGCTGTCCCCAGGATGGAGCCAGTAGTGGACACTACATGAGAAGGAAGCCAGTGTCCCTCCGTCCCCACGGTCACCTTCTGCCATGACTGCTGAGGAAACCGCAGTCCCAGACCATCAACCTGCCAGCAGGTCAGGACGGAGATGAAGACAGGGACCCCTGAGAGAAGGGACCAGCGAGGAGGGTGGCCGTCAACCTCACTCCGAGTCAGCGGGGCCGCCAGGAAAAGCAGCCTTGTGAGCACAGGCTTTGCTCCCGGTGCCGCTTGTGGGCGACACTCTTCCCACCTGCCCTCCTGCTACGGGCGCCTGCTCTCTCTGCTCCCGTCAGCCTCCTCTGGGGGAGAGGGGATGGTCTGGGGATAACAAGCACCCCAGAAATCCCTACAGGACACCCCGGACGAGAGAAGGCAAAGAAACGGGAACCAAGAGAAAATGCAGTGGGGCTTCCTCCTGGCCAGCCTGCTGGGGTGGTGGTGCTGAAACCAGGGCCACAGAAGACCCTGCCCCCTGGGGAGCGACCTCTGCCGGCTCACGGAGGCCTCCTGGCTTCAGCTCCTGAGCAGCAGACGTCCCCTCCTGCACAGGAGACCTGACCAGGGGGACTCAGGGCACTCAGGCCCACGGCACGGCCCACACCACACCAGACCCTCATCTTGGATGGTCAGCCTGGCTCTGATACTCTGGGCCAGAAGCAGGGACACTGTGAAAATAGACATGAAAAAGTATCTGCTCTCCCAGCAAAGCCAACACCTGAGGGGATCTGGTGACACGGATGCCGGGCATGGGCTGGAGCTCACTAGCCCTCCCAGGGCCTGACCACGCGAGAGGTCGCCAGCCACGTGTTGAAGGCTCACGGAGGGACCCTGCCCACTCCGGGCCCTCGGGGAGGTGCCAGGGTCCGGCCAGGGGCGCAGGGCTTACTTGCTCTCCACTTGGCTCGTGGCCTGGTTCAAGGCGTCCCTCAGGATGGAGTTCTCCTGCTGCAGGCGGGCCAGCTGCGTGTTGGGGCCATTCTCCAGCTGCTCCTGGAGCGTCCGGATCTGAAAGGTCATCCAAGGGGCATCAGAGGCCGCTCGGCCTGACAAAGAGAGCCACCTCGGAGCAAGGTCGGCAAGACCCCAGCCCGCAGACAAGAGCCCGGAGGGCTCCGCCTTCTCCCTCCGAGGTGGGGAGGCCCCCTCAGAACAGGGGCCGGAGAAGTGCAGAGCTGAGCACTCAGCCCAAAGCCCCAGATGGAGCTGGTGCGCTCTGCCCCGACCGAGGCTCTGAGACCCAGCAAAGGGCCACAAGCCACAGCCTACGGTTACCCCGAAGATGCCCGTTTCCTGCCCTCTGACCCCCTGTGGCGCGGCCCGCGGAAGCGGAGTGCAGGGCTCTGACTGTGCAGGCCAGGGCTGGCCCGGCCCTCCGCTGGGGCTGTGCGGTTTTTTGGGCCTCTAGTTTTATGGCGTTCTCCCAACCTCGAGTGGAGGAGGTGGAGCCGGCATGACTCCAGGGTCATGGAGAGGCTGCGAACTTGACCCATGGGCCCCCAGGGAAAAGGATGGAGTGCTGACCACTTGGGACCAGAGTGCTTTCAGACAATGCTCTTTAAAATGTGCATACATCTTCCTGGTTATTAACGTTAAACACACACACCATCTGGCCAGGTGAAACAACCCTCCCCCAAACAAACGCGATGGTGAGGGCCCCGTCCGCGGGCATCCGTGCCCGCCCTGCTGCCCACCTTGCCCTGCAGCTGCTGCACCTCCTGCACATGCTCCCGGTAGCTGGCCTGCATGCGCGCCTGCACGGCCGTGATCTCCTGCTCCCGGGCCACCAGCTGCTTTTTCACTTTGGCCTCCCCGGCTGCTGCCTTGGCCTTTTCCGCTGCCAGCTCCTGGGAGGAAGCAGAGGGCAGAGAGGCTGGTGAGGCGGGCGGGGGCAGCTTATCAGATGAAACCAAGACCATCATGACCCGGAACATGACCTGGGGCCAGGAGGAGCCTGATTGCAGAGCCACAAGACCCCCGTCCTGAGCTCTCGGACAGATGGGAGCAGCCACAGCAGAGAACGAGCAGGGGAGGAGGAGGGACCCCGGAATCCCTGCCGGCCTGACTGGCGGAGGGCTGGCCATCAGGCCTTGAACACAGTGGGCACCGTGGATACAGGCAGGAGCTGGGCAACGTGGCATCCTGTCCCTGGGCTCTCCAGGGGCACTGGCTGAACCCTGCTGGGATTACAACACCCTGGTTTGGCTCAGTGTCCGACAGCCAGGCCCCAGAACGCCCTCTTCTACTTGAGTATCTCTGTCAGGACTGACAAGGCAGCAAGCCCTGATGGCTGAGGGGTCAGCCCACTCCTAGAGGGCCTAGGTCCCCGTGGACAGCCACTCGGTCCACCGCCCTATCCCTGGAATGTCTGCTCCGGTCAGTGGCAGATGCCCACAATGAACACGGGACGCGGGGCCTGGGGACCCAGAGCCGCAGGCAGGGGCAGAGCGCAGGGTGGGAAGGGCTGGCCAAAGGACGGGGTCTCCATCATCACAGAAGGAATGGCAGTGGACGGAAACAATGGGGGAGCAGGAAGTGATAGTGTGAGGAGGGACCCGTGCACCGGCCCCCTGGCGGAGGTGCTCTCTGTCGAGGGGGCCTCTAGCCAGACTGGGGCACAAGTCCCATGAGATTCAAGTCCCCTCCCCGTCCTGGGCAGTGGACCAGAGAAGCGGGAGAGCCTCCTCTTCTCCAGGCCGGGATGCTAGGGAGGTCTATCCCAAAGGGCCAGAGGGCCCCTCCCGTCTGAGATGGGACAGAACCGGAGGCCAGGGAAGGGCCGGGCTGAGCGGGTGGCCGCTGGGTGCCAGGGCGGCTCTGCATGCCTGGAGTTCCCTGGGACCATCCGGGACCCCTGGCCCCGCTCTTCAAAGAAATCCTCTTCCTGGCTGTGCCCAGGGCGAGGGCCCACAGGGGCAGAGGCCACTCGGACACGCATGTGTCTCGTTCCTTCAATCCTCTCAGTAAGGCGAGGCTCTCCATCTCTGGTTTGAAGCTGAGCTCACAGAGCCTCGGGGAGGACACGCTTTCGAAGGCCGAGAGCAGCCCTAAGCGATAGGATGGGCAGGAACCTGGGGCCTTGTGGGCCCACGAGGGTCCCAGAAGGGATGGTATGCGAGGTGCCCCTCCTCTGGCTGAGCTGGCCGCTCGGCGGGGATTCAGGGCTCCGGCAGGCTTCCTCTGACCCATGCCTGCCACCTACCCCAAGCAGAACAGAGGCCCCTAAGTACACGGTCCAGCCCGATGAATAATCACGGCCACACAGAGGTGGCCCTCCGCCCACCATGCCGGATGCCCGGAGGCTGAGCATAGGTCTGGGGAAGGCCTTCCCCACCCTGAGCAGGCCTCAGGCAGGTCTGGGCATCCACCCGGCTCAGGGTGTAAGGATCCCAGTCTCCTGGGACAGGGTCCCAAGGCCACCAGGATTCAATGGGATTTCCCTTCCTTTTGCCCTGGGACTTTTTAAAGGCAAAGAAAGGCCAGATTTTCCTCAGGGCATCTGTTTCATCCTCCACAGCTTCTCTTTCCTCTAGGAGCTCAGAATCCCAGGACTCCTCCTGTCTGTCAAATTCTTAATTCAGTTGCAGTGGTCAGACTTATCTTCTTGAAAGGCACACCTGCTGCTGGGGGCCGGAGCCCCATTTCCTCTGACTGAGCTGAGAGGCACCGTCGCGACACCACCAGCCCAGAAACTCACTTGCTCCCCAGGCCGAGCGGGCCCTGCACCGTGAATCTCCCGAGGCAGCTGAGGCGTGGACTGGAGCACCCCCGCCCTGAGAGTCTCCTTGTCCACGGAGGATTCAGAGCCCAGCCTCTCGGGCCCGCGTGATGACAGGATGGGGTCCAGCCCAGAGTGTCACCTCGGGACAGAGGCCCCGGTGCCCAAGCAGATGACAGCTGGAAAGAGTTTTCCAGAAGGACGGCTCTGGAGCCACGTGTGGTTCCTCAAATCCCTGAACACGTCCCCGAAGACGCTCAGAAACCAGGATGGAGGTCTCAGGACGCCCGAGCCCGTGAACTGGTGCCCGGAATGGTCTTTGAACCCAACTCTGTTGACTTCACCCACTTGCAAGGCGCCCACTTAACCTGGCAGACAGTCCACACGGCCTCTGTGTCCTTTAGCCACAGATCACAAGAAAAGGAATTCACCAAAGCCCTCTTTTGCAACCATAAAAACTTCTGTACAAGGACAAAGAAATTGTGACGGGAACTAAACAAGAAACGCGGATCCTATCCACCCCCCAGCTCCTGGGATGATCAAGTTAGTCGGAACTTCTACATTCTCAGAAGTTTCTCATATAACTTCACTCAACGGTGCTAGGCTGGAAGACATGGCACAGCAGTGGAATCCCCTCCGCTCTGCTTGAAACTCTCAACAGAGAAATGCAGGGACTCAGCATCCACGGACTCCAGGGCACAGAAGGACAGATGGCGATGCCTGGGCCTCAGTGGCCCCTGCCAGGCAAGGTGACCTCTGAGCTGAGACAGGAAAATGGGGGCCCCACCCTGGAGGGCTTCCTGAAGGAGGGGGCTCTTTCCAGTGAGCCAAGCGGTGAAGGGCACTCGAGGCTAATGCAGGAGCACCAGAGGCCCCGGGGAGGCAGTGAGGAGCAGGCGCGTCGGGGAGCAGACTCGGGTCTGAAGATTGGGAGCCACCTGCACTTGAAGAGGCGGCCCTCCCAGGGCCGCGTAAGCGCTGAGAGCCTGTGAAGACCCCCTGCGGCTCAGGGAGGAGGATGCCGTGGGGGAGGCAGGGCCCCAGCTGGACGCACTGTCAGACGTCTTGCCTCAGAGCCAAGGCCTGGAGCCCCAGGGGCTGCGCCTGTGTCTCATGGCAGGGAGACGGTGCCTGGGCAGGGCTGGAGATGCGTCTGGTCGGGGAGGGGGAGGGCGAGGGGGAGGGGGTCTGTGGGTCAGCTGCGCTAGGGTTTGGAAACTCAAGTAGCCGCCCCGGAGGGGAGCAGCAAGTGTCCTACACAGGCAGCAGCACCTAAGGGGCTTCCTGTTGCAGGGTGCACCCCCCACCCCACACCTGCTGTCCAGCCCGAGGTGGCCGGAGACCCCGGCAATGGCCACCATCCCCGTCAGAGGCTGCAGCTGCTCACTCACGACACGTCCAGCCCACCCTAATCTCGGGCCAGCACGAGGAACTGGCTGGGGAGCCACACAGCCACCAGCCACAAAAACAGTCACTCTCCTTTCCTCTCACGTGAGCTTTATTTTGGGGTCAACACATCTTCTCAGGTTGTCCAAAAAGAGGATACAGAAGAACAGCCCCCAGAACCACAGACTCCACAGTCGCTGCTGGCCGCGGGCCCTTGGGGCAGGAGGCCTGGGACTCACAGCCCACTTCCATGGGGCAGAGGCTCCTGGCCTGGGATGCGCCAGCAGCTGGGCGGAAAGGGAAGCGCAGTCGGCTCTTGGGAGCAGGGTGAGTGGCTCTGGCCGCCCTGCATCCAACCAGCAACCCGAGGCCACGGGGGACACTCCCGAGAGAGGACGAAGGCCACCGGGCAGGAGGCTGCACTAGGGGAGGCCTCAGAGACCGGCCTTCCCCTTCCGCCTCCTGGGTGGAGCCTGACCAGGAGCGACCACGGTAAAGCCTCATCTTCCGCTCCCGCTGCCCGTCCGTCCCCCACTGAACAAACCTTCCCGTTTGGCCTAGAGCCGCGGCCGTCGCTCAGGACGAACTCTGAGGCCTCGTGAGCGAGCGACGCAGGCGCCCAGCCATGTGGGATGTTCCGAGGCCCCAGCCGCCTCCCTGCGCCCGCTGTCCCGCGGAGGAAGCGGGGACAGGGCGAGGGCCACGCAGGGCGCGATGCTGGGAAGGACAGCTTAAACGGGGAGGGGCCAGCTTTCTGCAGGGGACCCGGACCTCCTCCTCACAAGGAGCGGCCGCGTGCCGACCCCTCCTGAACGAGGCCCCCAGCCCATCGGGGCAGCACGGGCCCTCGAGACCAGTGTTCACTGGGTACATACGTGTCACGTGCTGAACCACCACGGGACCGCTCCCCAGACAGCGGAGAAGGGGCAGCAGCCCCGCTAAGCCCTCCCCATGGCTTTCTGCTCCAATTCTCAAGAAAAGACCCTGGGACCCACCGTGCCCACCCTCCTCTCAGGGCATCACCCTAAAAAGATGGGGCCACAACCGCAGGGCCAGCTGTCCCCTCCAACCCGTGCGTTCCCAGTCCCGAGAGGGACCCCGCTGTGCAGGAGTCCTCACGCAGCCACAGCCCCCGGGCCGACCCGGCGCCGACCCTACCTTATTGAGCTCCCTCAGTTTGCTCTTGGCGGCGGCCGCGTCCTCCTGCTCTGTGGCCAGCAGCTTCTCCTTCTCTTCCAGCTGGCGTTTCAGAATCGCCACGGGGTCACCCTTCTGAGTGGCCTAGAGATGCCCACAGAGCCGCATTAATGGGGTGGGCAGATGCCTGGTTTGAGACTCACCCCGACCATCAGACCCCGACCCAAAAGCAGAGCGGTGGCCTGACGGCACACACTTCTGGGGGCGGCCCCTGCCTCTGCCGCCCGGTCGGCCAGGCCTCGGGCCCAAAGCTCTGGACCCCTGGGGTAGTTGTGGGAGCATGGTTCTTCCCTAACCCCGGTCGATGGTGGCCAGGGCCTCTTCCCGGCCTGCTGGGGGCCGTCGGCCATCGTCCCTGGCTTGGTGCCCATCCCTCAGCTGTTGGGGGCGGCCTGCAGGCTGCCAGCTGAAGCCTGGAGGCCCGGGCACGGGGTGGGGGTGGGGGGTAGGTACCTGGGGACAGTGGCCTGAGCTGAGTTCAGGCCTCTCTTGTTGGAGGGGAGTGGCCACCTTGACCTCCGGCCACTTCAGGCCCAGAAGATGGCCCAACGCGCACTGAGCGAGGAGCTCCTGTGACCGCAGGGCCCGTCACCACTCAGCAAGGGCTGGGGCGGGGGGTGGGGGGTGACCCAGTGGCCTCAGGACACTCCCAACATCTCTCACCACTGAGGTGCCACAAAATCCTCCAGCAAAATTACCTACAACTCCAGCTGTTTAAGGAACAAACATGCCCCGCGGCACCTCCTGGGGCAGCTCGTGGCCACAAGCACCAGACAGAGAGAAACCAGGGAGACAAACACCCTCCTTCCTGAGCCCGAGCCCCGGCCACAACCCAGCGGATCCCAGCTCCTGGCCCCCCAGACGCCCCGCCCCGGCCCTTAACAGCCCTCCTGCTGCAGCGGCTGGGCTGCAGCTGAAGCAGAAGCATCTGCGGGTGATTCACGCAGCCCGACCTGGGGAAGGGCACAGAGTTTTGCCGAGAGGCAGGTGGAGGTGTTCCAGGAACACTCCGTGCAGCTTGTCAAGCCGGGTGCGGCCGGCCTGCGGGGCACCATCCAGGGGAGGCCGGGGCCCAAGACCAGGAAACCACTGCCACTCACTGGCCCCTGGGGTGGGGGGAGGGCCCACCTTATGCCACGTGTCCTGGACAACACCTGCTTTCTCAGACAGGATCTCGATGAGCCACTGGGCCTCGCCCTCGCTGAACACCATGCTTCCGACCGTGGAGACCAGCGTCTTGTAGGGGAGGCAGAGCGGGCTGTCGGTCTCCGGGGGCCCTGCACAGAAGGGAAGGGGCAGGGACTCACACTCGGGCACCAGCCACCAAGCCCGTCACACCCCGAGCAGCAGAGGCCAGTCAGAGTCGAGGTCTCTGTCCGGCTGCCCAAGGTCTGCGGGCCGAGTGCAGCGAGCCCACCCTGGGGTCTCAACTGGACTCAGCTCAGGTCCTGCTCAAAAACAGCAGCGGGGAAGGTCCCCAGGAAAGAAAGGCTGAGTATGCCTGGGCTGGAGGAGATGTCCCCCTACTTTTTCATCATCAAAGTGAGCAGACTTGGGCAAGGCATACTTTCCCATAGGTGCTTTTTTCCTTCCTTCTTTTCCCAGCAAACTGCCTGGGCCAGCTCTGGCCGTGTGCCACCCAGCGACGCTCACGCCCCTGCCAAGACCGAGCCCCACCGGCGGGGAGCAGGAGGCTGCCTCCCCGACGTCCTGGTTCAGACCCTCTATTTCCAGCCCTCCCTGGACGAAGCTTAAGGCAGGTTTCAGGACAGGGATGGCTGGGTTCGTCCAGAACAGGGCTGCCCGCTCGCCGGTCCATTAGTGCGTGACCTTCCTGGAAGACACAGAGCCATGTGCCAACTGCCAGCTGTCACTCCTGGACGCCCGACGCCCCCGCGATAGCTTCACTCTCACGCAGCCCCTCACACAGCCCCAAAGACACGAAAGGGCGAACAGAGACCCTCCCCCCCGTCTGGCAGCTCCTCGCGCTGAGCTCCCTAAACTGCCCACAAGCTGTGGAACGACAGGGCCCCAAACGAGCTGAAACAGAGCCAAGCGGCCGCCTGCAGCGGCACCTGCAGCCAAGCCCACCTCACTGAGGACAGCGAGGGGAAGGTTTCCATGGCAACCGAAATTCTCTGGCTTGTCACAATATTTTCACTCCCTACTCACAATATTGTCATTACAAGTCAAAGCACTTAGCAGGATCCCCTAATAAAGGGGACGTGGCACGTGGCGAGCTGGTTGCTACGAGCACCTTCACTTTAGAACTTTCTACCCCGCGAAGCTCGGGAGTAAAAATAACCATGTTGGGCTTCCCTGGTGGCGCAGTAGTTGAGAGTCCGCCTGCCGATGCAGGGGACACGGGTTCGTGCCCCGGTCCGGGAGGATCCCACATGCCGCGGAGCGGCTGGGCCCGTGAGCCATGGCCGCTGAGCCTGCGCATCCGGAGCCTGTGCTCTGCAACGGGAGAGGCTACAACAGTGAGAGGCCCGCGTACCGCAAAAAAAAAAACAAAAACAAAACAAAACCATGTTGACATTAAAGGTCTAGAAGCTTGAGGGTGTCATGAAAACTGGGAGGTGGGGGGAGGCCCCCTTCAACCTTCATTCTTTTCACTGAAATATGTACGTAAAATAATTTTAATGGTAAACTTCTGCACCCTAGAGAAAATTCAAGTACAGCTAAGCCAAAAGAGAAGGAACCACTCGGACGAAAACCTCACGGTCAGCAGTTTGGTCTCTGGGCTTCCTGCTCCGCCCCGTCGGCCTGCAGACCGATGTTTCTGCCAGGGTTTTTCAGAAGAGGGAGGTCGGCCGGAGTCAGACTGGGCAGGATGGCCTCTCTGAAGCTGGCCACTCAGATGTTTTCCTCTGCGGACTCAGAGATGCCTGCTCCTGCGCTGCCCCCAGCCATGCCGGCTGCCAGGCACCTGCCACGTGGCTAGTGGTGGGAACTGGGGTGGCTCCCAGGGGAGCACACACCAGACTGAAAACTTGGTATGGAAAAACAAAAGAATGTAAAATACCTGCGATAATTTTTTTATATTGATTGCATATTGAAATGATAGCATTTGGGGTAACTGGGTTAAATGAAATATATTAAAATGAATTCCACGTGTCTCTCATTTGCCTTTTTTAGTGTGGCTCACAGTGTATTTCCAGCCCTGGGGCCCCAAAGCACCGCCTGCTGAAGCCCTGGCAGCCCCGTCCCTGCAGAGGCCCCAGAGTGACCATCCTCCTAGGCCCCAGGGCCCCTGCTGCACTGCCCCCCACCCACCTGGGGGAGGGGACACAGACCTGGATGACACAGCTACGCTTCCCTATGGAATGCCGCATCCTTCACGGCCACTACCCCAGTGGTCTCACAGATGCATTCCCTCCAGGAGGGCCCTGTGCACAGAACGTTCCTGAGAGTATTCTGGGAGTGTCATTCTAACACACATTTGTTAAAACTTTCTCATGTAATTATACTAAATTGTATTAGATGTCCTAGTGAACAAAGTCACGAAAACCTGTAACAAGTGGAACACCCCAAAGCTATGTAACGGCAGAACTTAACTCTCCTCGCCCACCCCCCACAGAAACTTCCACAGCCTTCTCCATCCTCATACAAACACTGCAGCATTAGTTTTAGAGAGTAGAGAGATATGACTTGACTTTATTTCATTAAGGTAAGAACGGCGCCATCTTTATTCACCCCAAATCGGGGAAAGTAAAACTGAAAGAAAGGAAAGTTCTGGGAACCAGAACTCTGGGCCTCACGTGAGTGGCATTTATTTCTGGGTTTCAAGACCCACGAGGCGGGCACGCTGACCCATACACAAAGGACTAACGTGTCCTCTGGCAAAGGCTCGAAGGCTAGAAATAATCCTTGGGGTTGTGAAATCTTAAGGCCCTAAGAGAAACTTGTCAGAGACTCAACATCTATTCTGTGAAGCCACAGGCTTCACAAGGACCACGTAGCAGTGAACTCCCGTGAGAGAGAAGCAGCCAAGGCTCCGCCCACGTAGGTGAGTCTGAAATTCCAGGTATGGCCGGGCCGGAGGCCTGGGGGAGGAACCAGGCAGCAGAAGGGCACAGCGGCCGGGGAGGGCCGGCGTCTCACTGCTCTGGAGTAACCCGGGCTCCTGCCTGGCCGGGGACACAGTGAGCACCCCAAGCGCTGTGCCCTGCAGGGACGGGGCAGCCTCCCCTGAGCGGGTGGCCTTGGCCATGGTCCTTTCCCTCCAGGTGACAGCTCCCACGGGGTCCAGGCCAGAACCCGCAGGGCTGCGGACGCATCGAGGAGAGCTAGAAACGAGACTGCTGTGTGCCATCTCCTGACCTTCAGTGCTGACAGCTAACTCAGTGAAAAAAACCACCACGGAGCTGAACACATCCACGGGCCAATTCCGGTCTGCAGGTCATCCCTGCCCTTGGGCTGTGGGCACCCTGGTCAGAGCAAGGCCCCTGGAGCCAGGTGGTCTGGGCTTGAATCTTGGCTCAGCTCCCTCCCACCTGTGCATCCTTGGGCAAGCAACTTCACCTCTCTGAGCCTGTTTCCTCATCTGTCAAATGCGGGCAACAGCAATGTGCTGGGCACAGGGTAAGCACGGCAGAACCGATCAACAGGGCCAGGAGCACCCCACACCCTGACCCCTCCTTGGGCGGACAGCGCCCCAGTGAGGAACTTGGGTGGGGAGGCAGGAGGTGAAGCAACTCTGCCTTCCTCTGCCCCCGCAGCTGGCGCTCACGCCCCCGTGGACAGAGCGCTGGGGCCCACGGCCCCTGCTCACACCACTGTCTTTGCACACGAGGTCAAGCGGGCAGCGCATTTAGGGAAACGAGGGGCCCTCTGCCTCCCTGGGCTCTGAGCGGAGAAGCACTCAGCGCTTGTATAACGTGCCTCAAACTCCCAAACTACGCTCCCTTTCGTGACCACGCCGGGAGGCTTAATCACCTAAAATTAGACCTGTCCTGCAAAAAGGGCTTAGGAGTCTCCCCTCTCACCGTCGACAGTGGGGTCTCAGCCACCAGGGACTTGGCACTGTTTCAGCAGCAGCCCCGCCAGGTCCGGGCCCTGGAAGCCCTGCCTGCTCATGCCCGGCTCAGCCAAGCAACAGGGGGCGTCAGAACAGCTGCAGGGACTGCGCGCACACAGCTGTGATCGAGGGGTTACTGCCAGGCCCTTGCACGGGCGTCAAGAGCTCCAGCTCCACTCCAGCTGCTGCTGCAGGTGCCTGGAAGCCCTGTGCAGATGGTCTCCAGACATGAAGTATGCACCTACTGTGTACCCCACAGTCTGCAAAATCCTGGAAAGGCCTGTGGGACTCCCAGCTGGGAGAGGGGAGGAGACCCCGGACACGGAATCAGGCAGCAGAGCCACAGGGCACCTGGGGAAGCAGCCACGGCAGCAACACCGGCGAGGCTTTTAACGCAGGAGGTGCTTGAGCCAAACACTACCGGGTGGAGAGCAGGAAGGGGAGGGAGCGGCAGGGATGACCCGAGGCTGGTGGAGCAGAGGCAGGTGGCACTGGCATGGGTCCCGGGGATCCGGGCTTCACCTCATGGGCAAAGGGGCAGTGCCTCAGGTGAGCAACGTTTGCACTTGAGGACACCCGGGGGCCAAGGCTGGAGGCAGGTCAGGGAGGAGCCCAGGGCCGGGTCTGAGAGCACCCAGGAAGCGGGGTGGCGGTGACAACCTAGGGCTCTGACAGCAGACACGGGTGGGGTCCTGGAGGCCGGAGGAGAACTCCAACGGCAAAGACGCTCACATCCCAGGGAGCGTCCAAACCGGTTCTGAAGGCCTCCGCTCACACACACAGGTGCAGGCCGAACGGCAGCTGCTGGCTCGGGACCCTGCAGAGGCGTCACCCCAACAGTGTGGGTGGGGGACCTGCACGCTCCCCCGAACAGGAAGCCAGACCCCAGCCTCGGGAAGCCCCCCAGGACATTCCCCAATCACCTGAGCCAAACTCAGGGCAAAGGCCAGGGCCCCAGGAAGGGCCCCTGCGCCTCCTGGAAGCCCAGCACTTCCCAAGCAATCGTCAGCTTCAGAAACAGAGCCAAGCCCCCGACTCCTGCTGACCCCAAGTCCAGAGGGCGGCCACCGTGTCCAGAAACAAGGAACCTGGGCCACACCCCCAGCTGCACGTTCACGGACAGTGGCCGTGAAGGGTCCTCCTGAGCCTTCGGGAAAGCGACCCTTCGAGGCCCGCGATGGAAGAGCCACCAAGTGCGTCAAGAGCTGGAGCTGCAGCTCCTGCCGCCCTCACAGCTGCTGGTCTGCACCACGGCAGTCTCGGGCAGCACACACGCGGCCGACCCCAAGCCCGGCTCAGGCTGAAGCCCAGCACTGCCCAGGGCTTCCGGCTCCCAACAGGGTGCAGGCCTCAGACCAGCGGCTGCACTGGACCCTGGCAATGGCGTTTTAAGTGCACTGGAGCAAAGGACAAATAATGTCAAGAGCAACCCTACCTGGGGCCTTTGAATCAGGCCTTTTCATTTGGCTGGAGAAAAAAGTAATCTCTTGACAAGCTGGGAGATTGTACACATAATGACGGCTAATGGAGTTTTTAAAAAATCCTATAAATTGAATGACTGTATTTTTCTCTTTATACTTTTGCTTGTCCCCCCAAATTTTAACAAAATCAATTTTAAATCTGAAAAAAGAACTAAAACACATCACAGTATTTCTTAAAGAAATACAACCCCTGGAGGGCCTTTGCACAAGCTCCTTCCTCGGGCCTGAGGGGACCAGGAGGTCTGACCTACTGCCTGCAGGAAGGACGGGAGACGTACAACCTCAGCCTCCTGCCCTGGCAGTGACGGGAGCCACAGTGCCACCCCGTTTAAGAGGAGTGAACGGAGAGCCCTGGAAGAACATCTTCCAGCAGGTTCTCTGAGACGTGACACCAGACTCGCTTCCCCAGGGGATGGTTTGTTCTTTCAAAAAGAAGAAAGGGAAAAGTTGAGTTTGAAGAACTTACACAGAAAGTGAAAAAATCTCAGGAGCTCTGCAGTTTTCTTCAGAGCTTCAGACCCCGAGAAACTGAGTTAAGTTCAAAAGAGAGGCTCAGGGGCTTCCCTGGTGGCGCAGTGGTTGAGAGTCCACCTGCCGATGCAGGGGACACGGGTTCGTGCCCCGGTCTGGGAAGATCCCACATGCCACGGAGTGGCTGAGCCTGTGAGCCATGGCTGCTGAGCCTGCATGTCCGGAGCCTGTGCTCCGCAGCGGGAGGGGCCACAACAGTGAGAGGCCCGCGTACCGCAAAAAAAAAAAAAAAAGAGAGGCTCAAACGTAATCTCCACACCCCACCTCTGTGCCTCGGCCTGTGCGGGAAGGGGCAGCTGCTAGTGGTTGAGCCTGGGCGGGGGCAGGCGGAGACCCAGGCCTGGGGTCCCAACTCTCCCTTCTGGGAAGTCCTGAAACAGAGCTGAGCTTTGGTTTCTGCTGTCCTAAAACAGGTAAAAATACAAACCCACCTTAAAGGAAGTTGGGGGATAAATGCACAGAAAGAGCCCCTCCCCACACACCAGGCTGGAGCACAGTGGGGCCGGTTCCCCGGGCCCCCGGCCTCAAGCACAGCAGCCTGCAGGGCACAAAGGATGTGGGGGGCGGGGGGTGGGGACAGCAGGAGGCAGGGGTACAGCTACTGTCCAGTCACACGGCTCAAGATGAGGCCCTGTGGGCCACAGACACCCCGACTGAAGGTCTCCTGGTGGGTCTGGCCCCTGTCCTGTTACATTACAGGACACGACCCTATTCCTGCATCTCCCAGGGTCCAGCAGCGGCAGGAGGCCTCTCACAGCACGGAGCTGACACCCCTAGGATGCCGCCAGGTCCCGGATGCAGGAGCTACTTTTATCTCTCACCTGACCTCAGTCACCACCATCTGCTGGGTGCCCAGGGGCTGGGGCAGCCCAAGAAGCACTGGCCACTTCCCTTCCTCAACCTGCGCCCCCGAAGGAGCAGTTCTCTCTGCGGCTCAGAGGATGCTCAGGGCCCTGAGGTCAGGGCTGGGCTCCCTCCTGGCGCCCGAACGGGTGGGACCTCCACTTTGGTACGAGGAGGGCCTGTTTCTTCAACTCACAGACAAAGAATGGAGTTTTGGTTTCTCTTCCATTAACAAGAATACGTGTGACAGAAAAACTGGAAAATGCAGAAAGGTGAAGGGAAGAAAATAAAATTCACCTACAGGCCTCCCCGCAAAGATGGCTTTTCTGCCCCGTGGACCTGTGAGCGCATCGGACTCAGCCGTCGTGGGATCGTGCGGGCCGCTCTGAGGGTAGGTACCTCCACCTCCTGGAGGCTGGCTGGGCCCTGACGTGATGGCCTCTGGCCCCTGGTAGATGGCCCGCGTCCGTGTTAAGGGCCCGGGTCTGGCATGATGCGGGGCACAGAGTCCAAGAGGAGGGCCCCCCGGCCTCAGCCTCGCTCGGCAGTGATGCCCGCACACCAAGCCCCCGTGGCAGCACGAGTCCCAGGGCTTGGGCCCAACTCAGTTTCCAGAACGTGCCTCCTGTCCGGCCCAAGTCTGGGCATCCAGTTCCCCAGGCCTGGCCCGCACTGTGTTTGCGTGGACTCCCTTCCAGGAGCTGAGGAACGGCCCTGCCGAGAAGGTCCCAAACCACCCCCATGTCCGCTTGCTTCCTGGGCAAGAAGCGTGCTTTCCTGATGAACATGAATACTCGCCGCAGTGGCCCTCGGAGAACAAACCAGCAGAGGCCTGGATGGTGCAACCGACTCGGAAGCTTCCGTTCTGGAAGTTTCCACTTCGTTATGATTCCGTGAATCCCCTCTTCTCCAGACACTGGGAAAAGAATCCGTGCTTCTGTTTCAAAACCAAGTGTTTTCTCGTAGTCCACACCCGGGCTCCTGACGGCCCTGAAATCGCCCCCATCTCCACGGAGCCACGTGAGCACCGAGGTCAGGTTGGGGGGGCGCTCACGTGGGCCCATCACCGCGGGAACCGTCCGCTGCACCAGGCCTCCAGAGGGTAAGGCGGATAGAGCTTGTCTTCCTAAATTAAAAAAGCACCCGCCTTTGGACTTAGCACTTACCTATCTAGGAATTTACGTTACAGAGATACTCACCCAGTGATACATGTACGCCACTGTAGCATTAATTTCAGCAGCAAAAGAATGGCACACTGCTTCGTGGCATTTAAATAAATGACATTATGGTCACACCGTGGGCTACGATGCAGCTGAAAGCGGCAGCCCCAGGGTGTACTGAGGAATAAAGGAGGCAAGTCCGTCTCTGCAACGCAGGCCCGCTGCGTGTGTTGTGTGATGAGCGGGGCATCTGCGGGGGCCCCCCGGGAGGTCGGCGGTGGCTGCGATGGAGTGGAGAGGAAGACTCTCAATTCTTACCTTCCACGCTTCCATACTGTTTGAATTTTGTTTGCTGGAAGCACGCATTTACACAATAAATTTAAGAAAGGATTAGGAAGGTGGGTGTCCATTTCAAGTCTGGTCAGACCTGTCACACAGCCTCAATTTGCTCCTGCAGGAAGATCAGATCAGAAGTTCCGGAATAGCTCCAACTCGGGCCTGCGGAAGCGTGTCCTGTGCCCGCTCTCCTCTGGGGCTCCTGTCAGCGGAGGCCCTGCTGGGACAACCGGGTGTCAGGACAACTGCGGGAGCCACCCCAGCTCCAGGGCTGCTCTTGCTGCTGACATGCCACGTGTGTGGGCTAGCCATAGGCTCTGGGAGCTCTCTCACGGCTTCCATGATGTGTGGGGCGACGGGGAGCTCACTCCCACCCCACTCAGGACACAGACGGAACAAAGACGGAGGAACTCCTGACGCCACCACAGGGCTGCAAAGACAAGTCCATTTTCACGGGGCCTCCTGCAAGGTGACCCAAGAGGCCCCCTCATTCCCGATGGCTCTTGTTTAGAAAAGCTTTGTCCAGTAGAACCTTCTGTGCTGATGGAGATGGTCTTCATCTGCACTGTCCGAACAAGTAGCCACTGGCCCTGTGGAACTACTGAGACCTTGAGTGCGGTTTTCACTCTGACCTTTTGATTGATTTGAATGTTAACTGGCCCCACGTGACCAGCAGCTCCCGTACTAGTCAGCGCAGCCCCAGAACCTAGCTCTCTGGTGCCAACGGTTAAACCTCGTGGCCCTGGACCCTCCCCTGCCCGAGCCCGGGTCCCCTCCCCCAAGCTCCCTCCCCGGCCTGCTCCGCACCAGCGACACAGACCCCCCCCCAACCATCTCCCTCATCCCCACGGCATGGTCATCAGGACACCTCACCCCCCAAGGCATTCACACCTCCAGGCCCCTGAGTTTCTGGATGCCCAGGGCCAGCCAGCCAGTGGGGATCTGTCCACAGTTCCCTCGAGGGTGTACCCATGGCCCTGAAGAAATGGAGTGTGCAGCCCCCAAGCCGACTGAGTCCTGGCTGGCAGGCAAGGAGGTCAAGGGCAGGCAGCCAGGGGTCAAGGGAGGAGCACGGAACACGAGGTGTAACTAAGTGAAGGGAACGCGGCCTGCTTCTCACTGGGCAGTGCGGCCACAGGGGCCAAAAGCTCGATGTGAGTCAGATGAACTGGACCCCAAGCTCCACAAACAAGCTGTGACTGCAAGGGCAGTGGGGGCCGGTTCCATGAGCCACGGGAAAGGCCGAGCCACCCGTCCACACCCGTCCTCGCACCCTCAACCACCATGGCTGTGGTGGACAGGGCTCAGCGGGGAATGCGGGGCAGTCAGAGCGACAGGTTCACTCTGCCCTCAGGAAGCAGTCCTTCACAGGCGCAGCTGCAAGGCTGCTCGAAGCCAAGCCCTTACAGAAAGAGCCCACCTGTCTTTCCTGCCCCCACCCCCAGGAGACTCGGGGCCCTGACCACTGCTGCAACAGCACCGGCATCTCCGAGCCTCGGGCCTCGCTGGGAACCACTGAGTCTTTATCTTAACAAGACCCTGCACGTCAAAGCCTGAGAAGTCCTGCCCTGGGGGGATCTCCACGGAGACGGTGGGGGTGGGGTGGGAGGGCAGCGGCGGACAGGGGCCTGCATCCACTTCGAGGGTCCACCAACCGTGGGAAAATGGGGGAAAGCACACGGGGCACGTCCAGGAAAATGAAAAACCGCAAGCATATCCCCCACATTTCCAACTCTTCAGGGTTGAAGACAAGCAATTCACCGCTCAGGTGTCACATCACCCGCAGGCCACCTGGTGTGGCTGCGCTCTTTTTGCGGCCTGTCCGTGTGCTACGTGGCTGGCCGTGTGGCCCAGCGCCCCGCCCTTTGTGATTTTCTCCCTGCAACCTCGGAGTCACGGCCTCCTGCCACATGAGTTGATCAGTACTAATTTCGGCCATCTTTCCTATTTTCTAGGGTTTGATTTCTTTTTACGTCAACTCCAATATGATACACACCTTTCATTTTTTCATTTTCATACACACATTTTCACAGGGACTAAGCAGACCCTTCCAAACCTTAAACATCCTGCCTAGGATCACTGCCTTGACCTGTCCCCTCCCCGCCCTGAAGCGCAGGTGAGATACAGTCTAGTTAGGACCACTCTCTTCCCTGACCTGCTGGCCTCAGTCCAGCACCCTACTGTAATTACAATAGTTTGGGACTGTGTTCACACATCAGACAGAACCGGCCTTCCAATAGCCACTTAAAAGTCTATTCAGTATTCTTACTTATTCTTCCCTCCAGGGGGGACTTTTAAGCCCACTGAAATTTTGGCAGGAAGAATAATAAACTACTAAGTTAACTTGGGAGTGACTATCATTTTATCTGCAATATTTAATCTTTCTTATCCTGAATCATGGTATTTTTTCTGTTCAAATTTCCTCTTATACCACCTCAGGCGAGCTGCTCTGTGGGTTCACACAGGTCGTTAAGTTAGGTCTTCCTCCCAACAAGGTTCTTTATTACCTGCAAATTAGGACAATTTTGCCTTCCTTTCTAATATTATCATGTTTCTGTTTCATACCTTACTTCAATGGCCAAAGCCCTACACAGTAACGATGACCACAGGAAGCTCTAGTCTGAACATACCTGATGCGCGAGAAGCCAGAGAACAGGCGGCTCTCACCTGCATCCCCGTCTTCTGGCTCGAATGCCCTCCTCCCAGGGTCAAGTGGAGCATCACCGTGAAGAGAGGGCAGCGTGCTCTCCCTCCGCCACAGAGTCAGGGTTGAGGCTGAGCGCCTGGGTTTTCAAAGGGCCTGAGAGGCTGACATGGCCTGTGGGGCAAGGTGGGCCAGTCCCTGACCCTCACATGGGACGAGTGTTGCCTGAGTAAATGTCCCCCCAGAAGTTGGGGCGGAGGAAACAGCAAAGCAGATACAACTTCACAGAGGGAAAAAACGTAGGGCCCTGCCTACCTGGCACAGGTCCAAACGTTTCAAAGCCCCTAATGTACCTCACCAAGACAAATGCAATTAATTTTCCAAATCAACTAATGGCTAATCTAAGAAAGAAAGAAATCTAGAGAGAAAGAGAAGAAGAGAGAGAGAGAGAAAGGGAGGGAGGGAGGAAGAAAACATCAGACTACTGTATCAAGTGAGTGATGAATATGAAACAGGAACTCGCGGGCCCAATTTCTACAGTAATCCGTACTAAAAAGATAATGGAAATTCATGTTCTACATTATCTAATATATGTATCTGATACATAATGTCTATTTTAATGTGCTATTAATGCTCCATTACATAACGGGGGTGGGGGGTAGCGAAGAGGGAAAACTGGGAGGCAGGGGTGTGGATGCCATTGTTTCTCAGAAACGTCATCCTACTGCTACTCATGCAACAAACATCTAGAAAAGAACAAAGCTATGCTAAAGCACCGGGTGAGGTAAGAACGCAGAACAGGCTGACAGAACGCAGCCAGACGTTTGAGAAAGACTGCAAGACACGGAACTGTCCTAGACTGGGTGGTGGATGGAGTCACTGCTCCTAATTCCTCACCCCTCCTCAATTCACACCTTTTCCCAGGTCACTCCGCAGTCCCTCCCACTGGGGACAGACTTCCTGCCCCTTGACTCAGGCTCAGTCTCATGGCCTGCTCTAGCCAACAGGATGCTGGTTTGAGCAGTGCCCTTTCACAGCTCTGCCAAAACCATGCGAGGGCCTCTGCCCTCGAGAGTCACTGATGCCTCGGCCAGGGCCCCAGAAGTAACACATAGAAGAGACCTATGTTCAACCTGCAGCAGGAGCTGAACCAGTTAAACTGCAGCATGAAGCAGAGCCACCAGCCGAGATAACCCCAACCAGTCAACCTCCAGCCAAGTCAACAGAAACATGAGCAGGAATAAACGACTGACACTGTGAGACCCTGAATTCTGGGATGTTTGTTATGCAGCCATGTGGCGATAGCTGACTGATACAGATGGCTTCCCCAAAGGGAATCCATAAGCCACTTAAAGACTGCTTTTCCCTCCAAAGTCATAAAGAAATCAAAGCTACTCACCAGGCTCACCTTTTTTCTTAGACCCAGACTTCTTCTTCACAGGAGCTTCTTGCTTTTGTGCCTCCTGGCTCTGGACCATATCTGCATTTTTGCCCTGCATAGGAGCTGACTCTGCCTTTTTACCCTGGTTGGCAGATGCATCCACCTTTTTGCCCTGGTTGGGGGACCCTTCTGACTTTCTGCCCTGGTTCAAGGTTCCCTCTGCCTTTTTGCCTTGATTGGGGGCCCCTTCTGCTTTTTTCCCCTGGTTTGCAACACCCTCCGCCTTTGTGCCCTGATTAGCAACCGAATCTGCCTTTTTGCCCTGATTCTGGCCCCCCTCCGCTTTCCTGCCCTGGTTGGGGGTTCCCTCTGCCTTCTTCCCCTGGTTCTGGGCCCCCTCTCCCTTCTTGCCCTGGTTCTGGGGCCCCTCTGTCTTCTTGCCCTGGTTGGGGGCCCCCTCTGTCTTCTTGCCCTGGTTCTGGGCCCCCTCTCCCTTCTTGCCCTGGTTCTGGGGCCCCTCTGTCTTCTTGCCCTGGTTGGGGGCCCCCTCTCCCTTCTTGCCCTGGTTCTGGGCCCCCTCTGTCTTCTTGCCCTGGTTCTGGGCCCCCTCTGTCTTCTTGCCCTGGTTGGGGGCCCCCTCTGTCTTCTTGCCCTGGTTGGGGGTCCCCTCTGTCTTCTTGCCCTGGTTCTGGGTCCCCTCTGTCTTCTTGCCTTGGTTGGGGGCTCCCTCTGCCTTCTTGCCCTGGTTGGGGGCCCCCTCTGTCTTCTTGCCCTGGTTGGGGGTCCCCTCTGCCTTCCTGCCCTGGTTGGGGGCCCCCTCTCCCTTCTTGCCCTGGTTGGGGGCCCCCTCTCCCTTCTTGCCCTGGTTGGGGGCCCCCTCTGTCTTCCTGCCCTGGTTGGGGGCCCCCTCTGTCTTCTTGCCCTGGTTCTGGGCCCCCTCTGCCTTCCTGCCCTGGTTGGGGGCCTCCTCTGTCTTCTTGCCCTGGTTGGGGGTCCCCTCTGTCTTCTTGCCC